CAGATCTAGATTTTGTCATAAAGGTTAGGGAACTGGGACAAGAAGAAGCCTATAGGTTCCTGGGAATTATCGAAGGAATTAGAATACAGCATACCCAAATGAAAGAGAAAGTAAGAAAGGAGTACTACAGTCCAGTGTGTCTGGTACTGAATATCTAACTGAATTAAAAAAAAAACAAAAAAACAACAGAATATCAGCCATAAACCACTTGTCCGTCCCTGTGGTGCAATACAGTTTCAAAACCCTTAACTTAACCATAGCTGACATTAAGCAAATGGACACCAAAATGAGAAAGCTTCTTACCACCGCATGCATCATCTGAAAGCTGATGTTGATTGTCTGTATGTTCCCAAATCTGAAGGAAGCAGAGCATGAGTACAATTAGAACTGGCTTACAAAACTACAACAATTGGCTTTTAAAGATAACTGAAAAATACAAAAGTCTGGTTGATGATCTTTGTCAAAAAACATGAAATAAGTAAACATTTATCCAGGGAAAAAGGATGCCAAAATTTTCAAAATGGAATTTCAAATCGGTGATGAAATGTAAGTAAATCATAATATACCTACTACAGCTGCAAAATATTTAAAAATGCAAGAGAGCAGATAGAGAAACGATGGCAAGATAAACCTCTTCACGGTCAATACTCTGCCCTTACCAAACAAGGTGACGTAGACAAATCCCATACTCATCAGTGGCTACGTAGTGCAGGGTTAAAAGTTGAAACCGAAAGTTTTATTCTTCTGTACAGGAGCAATGATTGCTAACTAGAAATTACCAAGCACATATATTGGAAAAAATATCTTAGTCTGATATGCAGATTCTGTGATAAATATCGAGAAACAATTGACCATCTTGCATCAGATTGTACGGTATAGGCAACCACTGAGTATAAAACTCGACATGACAGAGTGGGCCAATATCTGCACTGAGAAAATATGCAACTTTTACGGAAAGGAAACTGCAAGGAATTGGTATGAAAACCACCCAGACACAGTTAAGAGATAGGGTATGTAACAATTTCATGGGACTTTACAATACACACAGACAGAACAATCAAAACATATCGCCTAGACATCGGGATTAGAGACCACATAGACAAAATTTGCTTTCCTATTGACATGGTAGATCTTGAGTCCGTGTAAACTGTTATGTATCTTGGAAGGTCCTCAAAAAACCTAACAAAATACAAGGACCTTGAAATCGAAATCTCCAAAATGTCGCACATGAGAACATCCACAATTCTTGTTCTAGTTAACGTCCTGGAATTGATTGGAAAAGTTTTCATTAGATTCCTTGAAAGGATTTCAGGTAGCCCATGCCTTAAAAAAATATAAAAAAAATGTTCTTACAAGTACAGCCCACGCCTGACAAAGGGTTTTATCTAAAAAAAAAAAATGTGAAAGTTTTTATTTAATTTATTTTGACAAAAATGCTTAGTGGAAAATGTCATGAGACCATAACTGACCTTAGATCTCTGGTCGGGACCCGGAAATAAATGAGTATACACCAGAAACTGAACAAATGAAATAATAATTTAGTTTTCGTTTAGTAAAACAGTCACTTGAGAAAAAATATCTTTAGGATGCGATAAAAAGAAATCTTTAGGATGCTATATTTACTGCAGTATACTAACACAACAGTCAGAGTCTATAAAGGGGTTGGTTTTAATCAAATCGCAGATAGCCACTGCCCGGTGCAAAACCATTAAAAAAATAGAAGGAATCAATATTATGAGAAATGGTATTATTCAAAATACTAAATTCTTTCACCAAAGAAAAAAAATAATTTACGGTCATATAGATTCAATGTTATTAATAATATTTATACTGTTGAATATTTTTCAATATCTATTATCTTCAAATGTACGATATTACTTCTGAAAATATATAATCTTTAATATATATATATATATATATATATATATATATATATATATATATATATATATATATTCTGCGACTGTCTTGCACAATAAATGGAGAATGGAGTAATAATACTGCCTCTGGTATAAATGGATAAACAGAAATGATAAAAGTGAAAAAAGAAACGGAATATTCTTATAAAAATAACGAAGAACCAAGTTCATTTTGACCGTTAATGATTAGAATTCTAGGATAAATGGAAAGAATTTTTTCCAGTTCCTACACTCTTTCCCTAGAGTATATGCAGATAAGTATCTTTACTTGATTTTTATATATGTTTGACGTGGAAAAAAATCTGCAGCATTCACTGAAATGAAAGTGTAATAAAAATGGCCGCCGCCCCACAAACTACTAAAGCTCTCATTGTTGCAAGACGAAGTCAGTAATGTTTATTTTGCTTGTGCTATTGTCCTTTTGTCTCGCTTTGAAATTCTCTGTCTTGATAACTTTTATATGATTGGAAGCTTGTGATTAACTATTTGTAAAATGATTTGCGTATGTATTTATAGGCGTTTTATATGCATATATATACATGTGTGTGTGTATATATATATATATATTTATATATATATATATATAAAGAGACATATAATGATATTGTTTAACATTTACAATGTCTATATTGCTATATTGTACGAGTATTCAATGATGGCGATAGAGTGTTTATAGATATAGACAGTGTAAACAGAAGGAAAAAAAACTGTACAGTGACAGATAGTTTAACACTTTAATACAACTTTCATCTCAGATATCTAGTTAGATAGTTACACGCACACACACACACACGCACACACACACACACATATATATATATATATATATATATATATACGCAAGGCGGGGAGAATGTAACACCCTATTGAAAATTACTTATAACTTTTGTTAATTTCATTTCATTTGCATGCAACAAACAAATTTGTCATCCATAAAGTCGTAGGAATTTCTCTTTTTATATCGGAATGACAAGTGTAGTTGACATTGCATAAGCTTTACGATTTGTGACAGTCCGTGCAGAGACGGTGACGTTTGTGGACATCGTCCTTTAGTAGATTCAAAAACCATCAGAAATTATCATCTCATGCTGATGAGTACGGAATATGTGGTAGATACACACAGTTGCAGTCATTCTACAACGTCCATATTGGTTGAAAAAAGTGCATCAGGTTGAATTTTAACAATGTACTTTATTTCTACCATGATATTTAAAAAAAAAAAAAACAAGTTTTATAAAAACCGTTTAATAATTGATAAACTATTGAAAATGTTATGGACGTCCTTGGCATGACGATAAACTACATCCAAGATCAGGATCAGATTTTGAGGAGCGTGAAATCTCTTAATTGCTGGTGTTCCCAGGTCCAACCTGATCCGGGGTGGTAGCACCTGTTGGAGGCCCCAACTATGGACAAATAGTTAACAAACAAACCGGTGTCAAAACACTATGAAAATGTCAAAATAGTTTTTAATACCAGCAATACAGTTTAAAAAAAATTACCAACGATAAATTTTTGAAGAAAGATTTATTAGCAGCAATACATTTTTGTGGAAAAAGATTTTTACCAGCAACTGATTTCTGAAGAAAAAAAATATTACCAGCAATATATTTTTGGAAAAATAAAATATATTAGCAGCAATACATTTTCGAAAACTTTATTACCAGCAATAAAAATCTTGTCGGCATTAAATAAACTATTGAGGTGGATATGCCGTAAAAAAAGACAAACCAATCCAAACAATTTTAACGAGGGAGTTTCTTTCCAACCTCTATGTCTATAAGCAATGTATTCGTGTCTGTTTCGTATATACTGTATATTTATGATGTTTCAAATTTGCTACATTTAAGAAGAATACACATTATCAAAGACAGATACAAACAGTGGGCTCACAGGAATCAACGTGTGAGCAACCATGAGGTCTTGTAGATGATGCAAACAAGAAGGAGGCTTATACTAAGAAACAGAAAGAGGCAGCTGAATAAAAAAAAGAGGGCCTGGAGAATCTGATACTCACATGTCGAATAGAAGGAAAGAGAGACAAGAGACAGCAACGCATGATATACCTGGCGGGCTTATCAAGTTGCTGACAGAACCTGATCTAGAGAAAGTGGCAGAGGGAGGAAACTTATTGAGAGCTACAAGGGATAGGAGGAAGCGGAGAGTCGTGATCACCTACGTCCTGAAAGGATACAGCAGATAAAAAAAAGGATTAACAATGTTATTTATTACACGAGCCAAACATCCAAGATTATAAACGTATCACTAAACTATTATTGTATAACAGCATTTACCTTATGAAACTATTTTCTGGCTTTAAATAACCTGCAAAGGGTTGATAAGACATAAAAGTCCAATCACTGAATCAATCATACATTTTCGGTGATTTTTTGCACTATACACAGGTATTTTTTTTTCAGTGGTTAAAATTCCCGCCAAAAATTTTAAGGCCACATACATGAAGTAGTTATATACATGAGTATATACGGTAATTCAAAAAGGTTTCAAATTTTGAATTTTTTTTCTCTCTACACTTGCTTTGCTGAATATTATTTGTGCTTTAATAACTGATGAATAAATAAATTCATTAATAATCATTATTGGCATCAATTTCAAAATTATTTTTATTCTTGTAAGCAAAAAGGTAGAAATTGAATATTTATGGAGGGTCATTAGCTTAATACTCAAACCATTCTTCTGATAAATGATACATTTTCTGTACTATTTTTTCAATGGGAGTTTCTATGTTACACCAATCTCATATCCAAGATAACAGCATCCAGGTACAAACTAAGATGGAAGTTGTTTAACTTTAGTGATCGAAGCCATTCGGTAGGATAGTATATATCACAATAGTCGGCAATGTACACTACACATTAATAAATATATATGCAGTCGATACTACCATTTATGGGTGTACCTTTAGATGAGTACAGCCTGTCAGCTGATCTGTCTTCCGATCTAGATCGCACTGCACATGAGGGGAGAATTGGCTCAATACCTCCAAATCTGAAACTGGAATTTGTCTCACTAATTAACAATTGCGAGCCATTATCCATTACCCGACCCGCAAATCCAAACTGACAGCACCTAATATTCCTAAACAGTCACCCATCTAGGTACTGACTAGTCTCGACGTTGCTTAATGTTGTTGATCGTACGGGAACCCGTGTTTCAGAGTGCTATGGTCGTAAACTTCAGTAAGATAATAATCAAAGTATTTATTTGCAAGTCATCAATGGTTCATATTTTTATAGAATTATTGACAAACCCCAGAACAAATAAATTTTCTTCAGTAACAACTTGTATATCTTCAGTATTTATTTTTCCTACGAAGTTTCATCTGCTATGTCCTATGATTCTTCACGACACGGATCATCATAGTTATGCACAACTATTAGGTTGGTGCAAAAATAATGTCGTTTTTGACGTTCAACTTAACGACAAAATACGACATTATTTTTGCACCAACCTAATACCTATCCGTTGTCATACTAATTAGGTTTTGGTTCTAGAAGAGTTGCGTACTGGAGATTTGCGTCCCTGGGCATTTACTTCCTTAGACAAATTCTTCCCTGGATAATTACGTACCTCTGATAATGTTTTGAAGCATTTAAATGGAATTATCATAAATTTAAAAAAAAAAAAGCATAGGTAGTAATCAGAAATTTAAAAAAAAAAGAATGAAAGAAATAAAATTAAAAAAAAAAATCAAAAATTTATTTTTGCCTAAAATGCAATGTCAGTTTAACAGTGTAGCGAGATCGCCAGTATGCATTTGTTTTAATGGCGTTTTTCTTATGTTAGTGGTAGCTGTAATTTTCCTCGTCCAAAAATATTTTCTACCAGTGATTGAACTTAACCATGGGTCCCAAATAAAAATATAATCTATAATATCCAGAATCTCTTAGATGTTTGTGCTACGCACAGCTTGATTGAACTGAAACTGCTAGCTTTCTTTTCTTATGCTTTTAAAAAGGAAGTTTTTGTTTCTTTTTTCATTTATGGTAACTACCTTTCTGCTTGTTTAGAGTAATTAAAGGTATTGCTGTAGAAATTTCTATGTTAAACAACACTTTAAAAAAAATGGTAACTTCAAAAATTTTCAGAGTTACGCGATAATCTAGGAACTCATTTGTCTAGGGACGCAAATATCCAGGGACGCAATTGTCTGTTACGCAATTGTCCTGGACACAAACGTCTAGTACACAACTGTCCATCCACGTTGAATTTTGTCTTTCTGCATCTCTCTCTGATTCCCTGGTAGGTAGGTTATTCACTGTTTTTATCTGTTTTGTGAGTGAGTAATTCTCTAAACTCTCTTTCCTCATTATTTGTCCTAAAATTGTCAACTGTCTCTTTCTGATGCTTGTCGGAGTTAGCTCCTCCTTAATTCCCTAATTGTTCACTAGGTGTCGCTCTCCCTACACTATAAATGCTGGGTAACTTCTTACCTTGTTCTCTTTTTCACTTTGCCGGTCACCTAGAGGCGGTGTAATGGTTAATAAGCTTGTCTCGCTAGCACAATTACGAATGAGTAGTGAGTTCGATCCTTACTGTGTGCACCATAATTTTGGCTTTGTGCCACATCTAAGCTACGCTTGGAAAATCACTTTTTCGCTTTGCGTTTCAGCGGACACATTTAAAAATGTAATCTCTCGTAGAAATTCCCGTTTCGCCCACTTGTGGAGAAACACCATGAAACACACATACACGTACGTACGAATATTCACCAAAGAACAAACTCTTTACGTTCCCACACAAACACAAATGTTGATGTCTTTGTCACTTGTAAATTTGTTGTTTAATACATATATTTGTTGACATATATAAGTCAGTCCTGTTTGTTTTCTTTACATCTTCAGTTGGACTCAATTTGAGTCCGCCATTTTCTTGTAGTTGGACTTTTTTCTAGCAGGAATAAACAGCACGTATTCCTAATTCAACAACACTCAAACCCAACGGCCCTCTACATGCTAAATAAAATCGTCCAAGTCGTTTCCATTTTCTTTAAATCTTGCTCACATTCAGAATTATCTCAGTCTCCTTCTGTCGGACGACATTTCAGTTGATTCTCTTCACTGTGAGGAGATTTTCCTACACAAAATGCAAAATAAACCCTAAATTATTTTTTTTACATGAAGGGAGTTTGTTAAAATATATTTTCCCAGCTACAGTATTAAATTAAAAATAATATTTTCTTTTTTTTATAGGTTCGCTACAATGATAAGCCTTTTGTCAGTTAAAACCCGCCCCCTTCTTGACCGGCAAATAGACCTGCCTACATCCGACAGCAAGGTCTATGATTAGGAAGGTGGAGATTTTCAGGTGCATGGAACCACCTCTTAATTTCTGTCGTTTCCAAATCTAACCTGATCCAGATTGGTAGCATCTGTTACGGTCCCAGCTATGGGCAAATGATGAACATCAAAATACTATGGAACTTTAGAAATACGATATAGTAAAAAAAAAACTAGCAATAAATTTAAAAAAAAAAACATTACTAAAAATAAATTTTTGTTATGAAATTACTATCGATACATTTTTTATATATAAGAATGTTTGGGAGATAAGAAAGATTTACTGTTACCCGTCCTGCTAATTAACTCATAGTTAGGGGTGCGGAGGTGGATTCCCAATGCCCTTTGCGTGTAAGTAAATATAACGAACTCAACTGGATTTACGTCTCGACTTTCCGATTTCCAGTTACCGTTACTCATTGCACCACTCGCACATTGAACTTACAGTACGTGATATTTTCAAAAGGGTCACGGTGGTTCAACGTTATATGACCGTAAACCTAGTAAAGTGCAATCGAAGAATATTATTACTGGTATAGAAATTTTAAACAGCATTTGCAAAACCATGCTTATAAACCTTGCCTGTTCGTTTTCCATTGAACCAGTCTCTTATGATTGCTAGCTAATCCCTACTGCAGAGGTTGGCTCACGCACACTGAAAGTGTACAGCAGAAATCGAAATTACATACCCGTTTCTTTTTTGGTGGGGGGGAAGGAAACCAAATTTTGGGTAGGCGTCTTTCTTTATTTTTATGTCCCATGTCATTTCAGAACGTAGGCGATCATGGCTCTCCACCTTTTCCTCTATCCCTTAGAGCTCTCAAAAATTCCTTCCCTCTGATTCCTCCCCCAGACCACATTCTGTCATCCACTTGCCAGGTATGCCCCGCGTTGTTTTCTCTTGTCTCTCTTTTCCTCTATTCGACCCGTGAGTATCAGATTCTCCAGGCCCTCCTACCTCATTATGTGTCCCAGAAATTTCAATGTCTTCTTCCTGATATTAAGTATAAGCCTCTTCCTTGTTTGCAACCTCTCTAAGATCTCATCGTTGCTCACATTCTCGGTCTATGATATCCTTAACATCCTTCTGTCGAACCACATCTCTGTCACCTCGAGTCTCTTTTTATCTTTGATGAAATCGTCCAATATTCGCAGCCGTAAAGAAGGACAGATGTTACATAACAGTTCAGTATTCTTTCTTTGTTACCAAAGATATCATCCTGTCTCGCAGTACTCTGCCCAGATATTGGAATATGTCTTTGGCCATCGCAATATGCCTACGGATCTCAATTTCGCACTTACCGTCTTCAGTTAAGACCCTTCCCGTCTGCTTGATTTTAGTGTTCCCGATCTTCAGATCGCATTTCGGGCTCATCCTCTTACTGTCGACCATGCGCTCAATCTTCTTGTAGTTTATGCTTTGTCCTTTCTTCTTCCTCTCCGTCGCTACATTTTGTAATTTCATTCCCGTGTCTGCTATCAGTACTGTGTCATGTGCTTATCTTATGTTGTTAAGATTGTGTCAGCCAATGCTAAATCCTTCTAGGGTTTCCAATTCTCTCAGAATTGCCTCGCTGCATAGGTTGAACAGGTCGGGTTTCTATTTTTTGTATATTCACTGAACTTGTTCTCTATGCGCATACATGCTGTTTGTTGCCAGTATAGGTTCTTGATTATTCTGATATCTTTCCCGAATATATAAATGTTGCTGAGCAGTTCCAGCAGATCCTTCTGGCGTATTTTGCCGAAGGCCTTTGCGTAGTCTATGAAACATAGGTACATGTCCTTTTGCATTTGTATCGCTCTTTCTGATAACATTCCGATCGTGAATATGTTCCTTGTTTCGGTGTTTTTAACGAATCTGCACTGTTCTTGTCCCATCTCTGGATTGATTCTGCTGCGCGCTCTGTTCATTAGAATACGGATGATGAGTTTTGTCACGTGGCTCATTAGGCTTATTTTTCGGTGGAGTTCGCATTTGTTTGCGTCTATTTTTCTTTGGCATAGCTACAAAGATAGATCTGCTGAGATCTCCAGGTGTATCCCCGCTGTTATAGATCTCATTTATTATGTCAGTGTTCATGTCTATGCCAAAGTCATCTAAAGCTGTAGGCATTTCCGTTATAAATCTGTCTGGCCCAGCTGCTTTGTTTCTGTTCAGTTTCGCTAATGCGGTTTTTACTTCGGTTTTCAGAATTCTATGCCCGTCGGTAGTTCTGTGTATTGCTGGTTGTTCCCTTACGTCGTGGAAGAGTTCTCCAATATACTCCCTTCAGCGTTGAAGAATTTTTTCCTTCTCTAATATGAGTCTTCCATTCTTTGATTTTAGGCAGCCTGTTGACGAGCATACCTTTTGTCCTGTTAGTTGTCTTATTTGTTCATATCTCTTTTCTTTGTAGTACTCAATCTGTCGATTTCTGCACATTTTTCGTTTAGCCATTCTTCTTTATCTTACCGTCATTTGGTCCTTATTTCCTTGTGTAATTTTCTGTATTCCCTTCCGTATCTTAGCCGAGTTTTCTGTCTTCTTTTCATCATGTCGAGAATCTCATCAGTCATGCATTCGTTTCTCGTTCTTCGTCCTGTCTCCTTTGGGACTTTTTATATAAAAAGAATATTCCTTATTGCAGACACAGATTCGTGGGCATTCAACACCCACAGATGCCAGATCCTGACAACTAAGATTAGCGGTGCTTGCTTACTGGGTGAGTGTGCATAATTTGGTGTGATCAATATATATATATATATATATATATATATATATATATATATATATATACACACACATTTTTTTCCTCTCGTATATCTCCACAAGCATAATAGTACGTAAAAAATCAATTTAATTTTACAACGATTAATTTTCAATTTGCACCTGGCGATTGCATCGCACATAA